ATTCAACCCTGAGCTACAGATATTCTCTTCTATTGGTACCTCCTTCTCCCTCTCTTCTCTTCCCTCCATTCTCCCTCTGACCCCCATTTTCTACTGGTACAAAAGCCTCATGGTCAAACTGCAGCCAGTTCTGCCACAAACAGGCACCCAGACAGGTCTTGCTCACCTTGAAGCTCCAGGGGATTATGGTAGTGAACTTCCAGGCGCAAATATTTGGAGGAGCCGGGACCTCCAAAGGCTAGCCCTGCATCTTCAGGGTAGTAAAAGGCCTGGGAGGAAGAGAGAGGAAAGCATCTTTGTGATCCCTGGTGGAGCTGGACTTCTGTCAGCAGCTCAGGCCCAGTCTTTCTCTGGGAACACATTCCCTTCAGACAGAAAGGCACCTGATACTTCTAGCCAGGCTTTTAGCAAAGGATGGAATGGTTTTTAACCTGTAGCAGTTTTGATCTATTTCATGGACCCTTTCACGATTCAAGAGCTACTCCTTTTTGATTGGAGGCAAGAACACTTTCAAGGACTACTGGTAGGTCTTCGTGACCCCAGAGCTGCTGGTTCGCCATCTTGCTCAGATGCTCCAAGACACCATAGACTATCACAGCACAGGGGAGCTCTGATCAGCAAGCAGTTCCAGCCCACCAGGGAGGCCCTGGAGCCCAGAAGAGGGCATTTTGGAATAGGAACCCAATGGCCCCATTGGATAAGCCTCCTGCCCTGATTGCCAGAACCTTTCGAAATAGGATTCTGCCATTGCTTTGGGCAGCTTTCCATTGCCCTAAACACCAACCCCCACAGAACCCCAACTAGAACAAGTGAGCAAGCAAAACAATTTTCCAGAGGCAAAGGGGCGAGCAGTCCTGGGGACTCCTTGGTGAGAGAGTCAGGTCATGTCCTCTCAACCCAAAATGCTGCTGGAGGCCAGGATGGATAATGTAGTCCTTTTCCAGCACCCTCTGGAAAGCATCGTCTGAGGCCGGAAGAGCAGGAAGGCTTTCCAGCCCCAGGCCTCTTCTCCAGCCTGCCCCCCACAGCTCTTGGTCAAGGTTCCTGCCTGACCTTTTGGCAACACCAGCCTCAAGAGAGTCAAGCACAAGATGGAGCGGAAGTGAGGCTCACCTGCGCACCCATCGCCCAGGCAGCCAAGACGTGTCGGCAATAATTCAAGCGCTGCGGCTTCATCTTGGAATCACATGGGCCGCTATAATGAGGGAAGGCCTGGAACTCGGCGACGCACTGGAAGACCTCCATGTGATGGACCAGTGCTTCATTGCCTCCCGTGATCACCGGTTCATACTACGGAAGAAAAGAGATAGGCAGTGATACCTCGAATGGTCCAGCAAGGTCCCTGTGGGTCGGGCTTTGCTATTTGCGGGACAAGCAAATTCTCCATTTCATTTTTTTAAAGGCGGACAGTTTGTGATGGTTATAAATCCCCTCCAACAGCTGTGAGGCCACACTGGAAGTCCTCTGCAAACCAAGTTTCTCCTTGTTCTCAAACTGAATCATGTTGAATGGAAGCCCCTGGGTTTCTCTTTTGCTCTGAAAATTCACAAGAATGGAAAAAGGCATTCCACTGATTGTGATGAGGAAACTTGCAATCTGAACCCCCTCTCTGCAGCTACATATTAAGAAATGTGCTGATGTAACGTGTAACTTGTTATCTGTACCACGGTTGACTGAAGTATCCCTATTTCCTGAGTTCACACAACATACTGCCTGGATTCGCAGAACATCCTTAGCACTAAACCCTAGTGAATCCCTGTGTTCCCATAAAGTGCTATGCCCAAACAAACAAATGAGCAAACAAAAAACCCCACATGGCTCCTTAACCCAGACCTGGTAGGACAACGCCTTGAGCTCCCACCATGGGAGAGACCCCTCATCTGGACAGGCAGAAGGTCTCCTCGCACCTTTTCTCTTGCTGGTCATGAGAGGCAGAAGGAATAGACAGACGAGCCAGAGATGAGCTTTTCCTTCCTTTGCACAACCAAGAAGAATTTTGGAGCCAAGGCTAAAAACTATGTTGATGATGATGATTTACTCTGATGGATCAAATAATTTAATTAAACAAAGGGAGAAGTTCACTAATTTGAAATGGATTGCAAAGCTCCCATTTACCTAACGGGTGGAAGGTATCTTTCCTGAAGCCTGGAAAAACAGTATTTTTTGGACCTTACAATCTTGACTGAATGGGATACTGGCTGTATGGATGGGGTCAATGGGAACAGTCTGCATTCCTTGATAACGGACGTGTTGCTGTGACTCCTGGCAAGAAATGGCCTGGATTCAGGAAGAATCTGTTTGAAGGTCCCTTGCCAACTTCATTTGGAGGACTTGAACCCGAATCTGTGGGGGAGGAAGAAAAGAGCTCAGGAAACAGTGAGACCCCAAGTCCTAGGAACAGGACTGGGAGGGTGTGCAGGATACAGAGACACCCAGCAAAGAGCACACAAATGCAGGTAGAAATGAGCCAAGTTATGTGAGCCAGGGGTGGTGGTCCCCAGAGACCTGCACAGAGGACCACTGGGAAGAACTAGACTTCTGAACGCAGGAGGGCACATGTGACTCAGTGGACACTGCTGAAACCCAGGAGGATGAAATTCATGAAGGAAGAAGCCACCCAAAAGGGGAGCGGTGGCATTATTTATTTATGTATTAAAAGTTTATTTAGTTATTTAAGCATCTTTATAACCCAGTCCAATCCCAATGGACTCTAAGTGGGGTGTAACCAAGTGAGGGGCAAAGGACAAATGCAAAAATAAAAGCTCAATGTAATCCTTTAACATCCTATAATTAAAACCCAAGAAACATCATATATACTCTTAAAACTAAACTGAAGGCCAAACATAACTGGGATAAAACTATGTTAGTTTGTTTATGAAATGCCAGCCAGGTTGAGGTTGTCTGTAGATCCAGGGGAAGCATATTCCATAATATGGGGGCTGCCACTGAGAAGGCCTCATACCTGACCCATGCTTATGTGCCTTGACAGGGAGGAGGCCTACAGCTGGCTCTCTCCTAATGACCAGGTTCAGTTCTGGCAAGGGTGTCCCAGAATGGCACTATCGAGGGCTTTAATAGTAATAACCAGCAGTTTGACTGGGGCCCAGAAGCTGACTGGCAACCAATGCAGTGATTTCAACTAAGGTGCTATCCTAGCCTGTGGGAGATGTCCTGTCAGGGGTCCAGCTGCTGCGTTAGCTTCTGGGTCACCTCCATAGGCAGCTCAACATCAAGGGTGTCCAGCTGAGCAGTTTTGGGGCATGGGTTACTGTCACCAATGACTGTAAGAACTCAGTTCCATGAATCTGTTTTCTCTTCTTGTGCCGTGGCCCTCAACTGGAAGGATGGATGAAAAAGAGTACCTGGGAACCCAGTTCCTTCCCCTTGCTGCCCAAGGCCCTGCAGAAATTCTTTATCTTTTGGCCATGTCATTCATCCTCACATGGATCAAAAGGAAAGGATAAATGTTGATGGGTTTGAATAATTTTGGTAACCTCTCCATCACATCTTTCATATGGGCACCTGAAATACAACACATCTCCCATGACGTCCTATCAAGTCTACACACTGCTACCTCCCCTTAATAGCAGCTCTTAGGCTTCTTCGATCCATGAGGGCCCAAGCGTCTTCTATGCATTCTGCTGAAGTAGCTGTTGATCATCCTCTAGAAGGAAAGACGGGCACTGAATGCTAAGTACTGCTTCAGAGCTCTTCTGGTCTGGATATTTGGAATAAAGGAATCTTCAGCATCAAGTGTGATGTGGGAGTGGATGTCCAGAGCTATAGGGACAGGCTCATTTCTAAAATTAGATTTAAGGCCAACAAATTTGAAAATCAGCTAACAATTAAAAGCCTGGTGAATGAGATGCAACTTTTCTAATGAATGGAGCCTGGGAGCTAAGTGGGCCTCCCTAGGGAGGGTGAACTCAGCCAGAATTGGTCTCACAGCCCAGCTTCGGCTACTCTGTGGCATGTGGCCCTGCTCCGAAAGACAGCCCGCGCTTCACCAGCCAGCAAGAGCAGTTGGAGACAAGGCAAAAGCCTGTCAAACTGTTCTTTCAGCCTCCCCCCCTCAGCCCCAGCCCATCTTCTCCCACTTGTAGGCTGTTGCTAGGGGGGAATCAATGGTAAAAAAGAAGAAATGTTCAGCCTTCGGAAGTAGCCATTTCCAAACTGGCATCTGAAGCCTGGGCAAGCGCTGCCCTTCTGTCTGTGGCAGGTGGGGATGAGCTGGGCAGGATCACTACACTGAGAAGGTCCCAAGAAAGGTTCTCTCTGGCCAAGCGGGGTGAACGGCCTGTCCCTGGTTAAAGGCCAGGCCCAGTCTGGATGGGGAATGTTGAGACCTGGGTTGAAGAAGCAGGCAGCCTAGGTTTAAAGATGGGAGAGACCAGGGCAAAGCAAGGTCAATGCATTAATTTAAGGAAGCAGCAAACTGTGCCATGCCGTTGAAGACGAAGGGGGCTGGCGTCCACCCAAGACGACAGGCTGCCCACCTGCTCAGAGAGAGGTCCTAAAATGAGTTGGCCTCATTATTTCGTAGCCAAGGCAGGCCTTGAACAGCTTATACAGTGGGGCAAAAAAGTATTTAGTCAGCCACCAATTGTGCAAGTTCTCCCACTTAAAAAGATGAGAGAGGCCTGTAATTTTCATCATAGGTATACCTCAACTATGAGAAAACCTCAACTATGAGAAACAAAATGGGGGGAAAAATCCAGAAAATCACATTGTCTGATTTTTAAAGAACCTCAACTATGAGAAACAAAATGGGGGGAAAAATCCAGAAAATCACATTGTCTGATTTTTAAAGAACCTCAACTATGAGAAACAAAATGGGGGGAAAAATCCAGAAAATCACATTGTCTGATTTTTAAAGAACCTCAACTATGAGAAACAAAATGGGGGGAAAAATCCAGAAAATCACATTGTCTGATTTTTAAAGAACCTCAACTATGAGAAACAAAATGGGGGGAAAAATCCAGAAAATCACATTGTCTGATTTTTAAAGAACCTCAACTATGAGAAACAAAATGGGGGGAAAAATCCAGAAAATCACATTGTCTGATTTTTAAAGAACCTCAACTATGAGAAACAAAATGGGGGGAAAAATCCAGAAAATCACATTGTCTGATTTTTAAAGAACCTCAACTATGAGAAACAAAATGGGGGGAAAAATCCAGAAAATCACATTGTCTGATTTTTAAAGAACCTCAACTATGAGAAACAAAATGGGGGGAAAAATCCAGAAAATCACATTGTCTGATTTTTAAAGAAGTTTCTCATAGTTGAGGTATACCTATGATGAAAATTACAGGCCTCTCCCATCTTTTTAAGTGGGAGAACCTGCACAATTGGTGGCTGACTAAATACTTTTCTGCCCCACTGTATGCTCCCTGTGGCCCAGTGAGAGCATCAGTGCCAGCACTGAAGAAACCAGTCTAAGCAGGACAGGATCCTCCTGGTCTTTCCATGGGCATCACTTCTGCTCAATGAGGAGAGCAAGCAGGCAGTGGGGCTTGAGAGGCCAGTGTCCTTTGAGGCTGACCTGGCACCTGTCCGCGTACGTCAGCCACAAAGCTGTGACAGGGAGTGGGCAGGGGTAAAATGAGCTGATTGCTTGTACACCCAGAACAAGGAACTCCATGACCCCATGCTCTGGGGGGGGGGCTCTTTTTCCACCAACCCCTTACTTATAAATCCATGCCTTGCATGTGCTCCTTTTCAAGGACGGTTCTGTGGGCAGGAGGGGCTTTGAAATCAGCCAAGGGTCCGCTTGCCCCTCCCTTCCTTGCAAGCACGAGGGGTCTGGGTTTGTCTAATCCCTCTGTACTGCTGACAACTCGGGATGTTTGCCGAAAGCGCCCTCCTGTCTGATGGACCTTCCCATGTCAGCTTTGACTCTCCTGCTGGATTGTGTACAGGTCCTGCCAGCCTTGAATATGGTCTCACTGCTGCAAGGACGATGCACGAGGCTGCAAGGCGTCAGAAAGGCAAAGGCAAGGCACCCCTTCCCATCTTTCCGTCCACGGCCTGACTGCATGCAGGCGAAAGGGAGCGAGGCAGTCAAACTGGTGGGAGTGCGAGCGGGACGGGCCTGTCCTTAACTGACGCCAAGAGCAGGCAAGCACCAATGGGCTGCCATTAGCAGCCGTTTCTCCGGGTTCGGGTCGTCCACGCCGTGCAGTGGTGGAAGAAGGGCAGGGTCGCCTCCCAGAGATTTTCGCCTTTGGGGGTGGGTGAGTGGGTTCCTGCTCTAAGCGGATCCTCGGTTCTGTGTGTCAGATTCAGCCGGCACGGCCCGATACGGCGAAGGCACCGCTCAGCATCGCCTAAGTCAATTTCGCCGCCCAGGCACAAGCAGAGGAAAAGGGGAAGTGGAACCATGAACTGATTACCGGCAGGTGGCGGCGCTTAACTCAAACCGCAAGCGGATACTTTGTATCAGCGCCGGCTTCCCTCGAGCACTGGAGACAAAGGAACGCGCAGAGGCTCAGAAGCGAAGCAATCGAGAACTCCCGGCTTTGTGCGCAAACAGGAAAACCCAGCAAAGGCAACAACAGCACAACCCATAGACGGCAATCAGAAAGACAAAAGCACGGACTGAATCTGCCATTTGGTTGAGGGGGGATTACTGCGGGTAATCTGTAACTAAGCAACAGGGCAAAACGCGGGAACGGGGAAGCTATAAAATACATTGTAAGATGTGCCAAGCGAATCCTGGCTTTGTCTGTACTTACTTATGTTACACTTGAGTAAACTTCTTTCCTGAACACGTGTCACAAGAGTTTCTCTGGGACGAACGAGGTAAACCTTACACTGTGAACGGTGGAATATTATAAGGGTTTTATCAATATTGTAAGGATTTTCTACAAACCTAAGCAATCAAACCAGAGAAAAGGATTTTGACTCAGGTGCATTTGTTTTCTTTCTTTCTTTCTTTCTTTCTTTCTTTCTTTCTTTCTTTCTTTCTTTCTTTCTCTTTGTTGTTGTTGCTTTTTTTTAGTGCAAACAGTGTGCAAACACTCGGGTAGGGAGGTTGTAGAGCCCTATCGGTGTTGCCCAGGTGCCTCATTCCATTGTTACTGCTTTTCTGTTTTAAGTTGTAAGCTGCCCAGAGTCATTCTGGAGCCCGGCAGCCTTCGGATCAACTGAAGCCAGCAACGATGAACCCCCACAAACCTGCCCAGCTCCTTATGATGCTTGCAGGTGTCTGCTGCTGACCTTAACCCCCTGCCCCATCAGCATCTGCAGGGAGCCATTTCTCTGGCAGTGGCTCGAGGACCCTGCTGAGGTTCCTGTCCTGGAACATTGCAGAGTGATGTCCCAGATCCAGAGACCCTGGTTTTGTGAGTTTTTTCACTACATTTGAAATGCTTTTATTTCAAGAGACTTGGGAGGCCAGTGACTATCCAATAAAGGGACACCCTTCCTTTTATTCCCCATGGTGGACAGAGCTGGTTGAGGCAGACTGTCAGGAGGGCTCAGGATACCCAATTCTGCTACTTTAAGAGCTCAAGTGAAATTGTTAAGTAACGAAATAGCATAACCTTCAATCTGAAATGGGACCAAGAGAAGAAACAGTGAGAAAAATATTATAAATATTAGTGGCTTCATTGAAGACAATATTCCTCTCATCCCCAACACAAAGTCAGTTTGCAGTGAACTCCACATTTAATGTGAGTTTCTATCTTCTGAACATACTGAAAAAATGGCTATACTTTTCTAACTTTTTCAGTGCAGTTTTCCAGTTGTGCATATAGAAATAGCACAATATTAGAGAAATATTATCCAACATGCATTATATGTTCATGAAAATGAACATATTTTAAACAAAATTGAATAAGAACATATTTTAGGAGAAATGTACAGAAACAGGTATGATGTTTTTGTGCCACTTGATTTGTATATGTGTTATAAACTGATGCAGAAGTGGGATGCTGCAATGTTAAGACTGGAAAATGTGAAATGAACACTGACTAATCTGCCCCTCTTACCCAGACAAGAAACAAGAAAGCACAGCAAGAGCTTGAGGAAGGGCTGCAGGCTTGTCATTTAAGCCTGAATTTAAAAGGCAAGGGAAAAATAAAATTACAGCTCTGAGGCTGAAGAACAGCTGGATGGAGCTGCCCTCAGAATGAAGGGGTGAGTTGCGCCCCAGGCCTCAGTGCCAAGCCTGAGGTAATGATAGTGCAGAAATGCCAAAGAGGCCCTTGCCGCAAAAGCCATGGTGGGCACTGTCCCTGTGGGCAGTGAGGAGGCTACCTGGGGCAAAGCATATAGAGAGAATAGGAAACGAGGCCTGAAGAGACTGGAGACCAGGATAAAAGTAGCCTTCTGTGGAAGAATGGCGCACTGAAGACGCCTCCTTGAAAAGCAGAGCTGACAACCGCAGCGAAGAACAAAGAGCCAGGGAGGAGACCAGCTCTTCGATAATTCCTCTACAGACAAGGAGAGCACTTGAGATTGCCCCCAAGTGCTCCAGACAGCTGCTCCTTGTGAGGAGACCGCAAGACAGTGGTCTCTGGCGGGTTTAGTGCTCTGGGAGATGAGGGAATAGTCATCTTGCTCAAACTGCGCTTGGCACCTTTAAAAGGACACTGAGTTTGCATACTTCCTTTTCTAATCATTTTTGGAAATTGCTCGTTAACTACTTTTCAGTTATTAGAAACCTTTGGATGGACAAATTTGAAAGCACCAAGTGAGTTTACCTCCAGTCCTTAACGGAAGAAAGTTACAAGCTTAAGAACTTATTTTTTTTTTTTCTAAATAAACAGCAAAAGGTTGATTAAAACTTTGATTTTAGAATGCTACAAATGTACTAAGGGTTCAGATAAATTTGAAATAAGATTTTGGAGTTAGTTATAAAGAATCCTTCCTGTGGGAAAATGCTTTGTTTTAATTTAAAAAAAACATAATAAGATAAGATTTTAAAAATTGGACACTAGAGGGAACTAAAGATTTCAATTAAAGGAGAAGAACA